CTACTGCTACTGCTACTGCTAGCGCTAGCGCTACCGCTACTGCTACTGCTACTGCTACTGCTACTGCTACTGCTGCCACTGCCACCTCTACTTCTACTGCTACTGATACCGCTGCTGCTACTGCACACCTACTGCTACTGCTGCTGCTGCTGCTGCTGCCGCTGCCGCTGCTGCTGCTGCTGCTGCTCCTGCTGCTGCTGCTGCTGCTGCTGCTGCTGCTGCTGCTGCTAACACCACTACTGCTGATGCCTCCACTGCCGGCGCTGCCATTGCTGCCGCTGCTCTGCTGCGTGACGCGGGTGATCCATGATCTCTTCTTCGCTGCTCTTGTCGCCATCGTTGCCTTCTGAGTCCGCCCCGCTTCAGTTTTTGTAATCCGTGGCCGCTTTACGTTGCTTTGCGTTCATACCGCCTTCAGACGCAGCGCCGTGTGCTGTCGCGCCGTCTTGTAGTTCTCACCTGTAGGCGAATGCCACTTCTTTTGTGCCTTCTACTCTAGCTCGTTCGGGCACTTGTATAGTGCTTTCCTTGCGTTGTTATTTAAATCACTAGGCTGACATGAAGTGGAAGATACAGTGCTTTCCGATGCACAGGTGTCCCGGGCCAAGCCTATCGCCTTCGTTCCACAGCAGCCGTGGGTTTTCAACGCCACGACGCCTGGAAGCAGTCATGTGCTACTGGTAGCTTGCCTGAAGCCCGCTCCGCTTGAACGTAATGCTGATTAGATTTAAGGCAAATGGGCACGATCAAGTTGAATATCATTCTTGGAAGGTAAGTCTGCGCTCTTGCGCCCAAACTCCAGCGAGACATCTTGCTTCTGAATGTCTTTCGAAACATGGTTTCCGAGGATTCGACAAAACATCCTCTTTGGGGAGCCATACTCCGAGGCCGGGGGATTTTCGGTGGAAGCGCCTCGAGTTGAAGATATTTTGCCGAACCCCCTAGCACTCTGAACTGTGAGCTCGGGCCTGTGTGGTCAGATAGTGCAACTTACGACTCGTTCTCTCAGCCGCTCCCAGAGACTCCAATATCCCTTAATTAAGGAATATACCTTAAATTATAGTAGGATCCTTAATATGATTTAAGGTATATTCCTTAATTAAGTGATATTGGAGTCTCTCAGCCGCTCCGCAGAACCTCTACAGAGAATGCCTCCGGAGCAGCGACTTGGAGGAGGCGGCTCGGTTCGGGGGAGCTGGGCGGCAGAGTTGATCTTGCCACTGGCAGGGCGTAGGAGGTTCATGGGTAGTTATAAGTGGGGTTATAAGTCCCCTAATATGGGTTATAACTATAGTTACCTTACTTATAACCCCACTTATAACTACCCCTGAACCTCCAAGTAGGTACTGGACAAGGCATGGATACTGCGTTGGCTTGGTGCAGCCCAGAGTCTGCCATGCAAACTCGACCCGTATACGCTAGTGCAAAACAGAAGCAGCAATGCTGCCATCAGCCTGGTCCTGTGGGATCGGAGACCCCTTGTCGCCCTCCCAAGTCTTGTTTGTTTTGCAGCAAGATTCTCCAAAAGAGGATAGCTCAGCAAGCTACAATGATGTAGGCCAAAGATCCGAAGATGGGAAGCCTGGCTGCTTGAGCTTGGGTAGATCGTCTGAAGTTCAGACGCCACAACTTATGGCAATGACAAGCAGCTCGCTTGCCCGCCACTGTAGTCCCAGTCAATGCGCGTGTGTGTGTGTGTGTGTGTGTTATGTGTTTGCGTGTGTGTTCTGGCAGGACCTGAGAAACCTTCAGGCTGGCGACCAGACCAGGGTGTCTTTGCCAGCAGTCGGAACATTCACTTGACCAGTGCAGGACTCGTGCGACATGTCAGTTGGGAAGTGCATCGAAAGCCGAAACGCTGACTGCCTAATCTCCACACCAATAATCACATGCGCTCCGTTACCAAGGTTGGAGAGAAAGGCATCGCCCTCAGCGGGGGACAGAAAGCTCGAATCTGCCTCGCGCGCGCGGCTTACAGGACTGGGCCTCATGAGGGGATATCGGCTTTGGTGTGCTATTCTTCTTACTGTAGCTAGCCTTCATCTCGGTTTTGTGTCATTACCTTGAAAGCAGATTAGGAGATTGAGATTCCCATAGCATGGATGCAGACCTTGGGGCTCGAAGTAAGATGTAAGTGAGCACGTTGCGGCTTTGTCAATGCAGCATGTTGAAATTGCTCGTTAGAGATTTTTTTGCTGTCGGAAACCTAAGCTAGCTGGGCTGCTTAGCATTTCGTTGTGCAAGAGATGGACCTTCGGCCAAGGGTTGCGCTCTGATGCAGTGCTCCTCCCTTTGAAGACAATTGAACACTGTCCTGGAGCCAGAGCTCCTCCGCGGAGTTGCCCTGCATGATACAATCGCAGCACGGGGTCATTGGGAGGTTTGCAACAGCAAGAGGACGCCCAAACAGCTCACATGCACTCTCAGGATGCGCGACAGCAGCATCTATCTTTTGGATGATCCTTACAGTGCATTGGACTCGCGGGTTGCGTGGCGATGCCACGAGGAGATGGTTGCAGGCCTGCCACTTGGTTGTTGGCATCTGGAGTGGTTTCAGTGATGAAAAGCGGCTTAGGATGGCGGTGTGGTAGGTGTCGCAGTAGGGCTAGGGGTACGGGCAGTGGTGCTGGTAGTGTGGTCGTGGTCGTGGTCGTGGTGGTAGTGGCGGTGGTGGGTGTTGTGGTGGGGATGTGGGGGGAGTGTAGAAGGTGGTAGTGGCAGTGGTGGAGTGGGGTTGGGGTAGTGGTAGGTGCAGTGGGGCCAGTTTTGGTGTCGTGACAGTAGCAATGGTGCCAGACGTAGTGGCGGCAGGTGTACTGGCACGGGGAGGGATTTTTGGGGGTGGTGGTAGGTGGTGGTAGGTGTAACGGCAGGGGTAGGGTGCAACAGGAGTGGCGGGTGCTGGGTGGGGGTCGGGGCAGGGAAAGAGGTAGAGCATTGGGGGTAGGGGGAAGGAGGGTAGGGGCAGGGCGGCAGGAGTGGTAGTGGTAGGTGCAGTGGTAGTGCAACAGCAGTAGCCCGATGCTGACGCCGGCAAGAACGATCTTGACCGTTGATTGTGAGGATTTCAGAGGTGGGATTGCACCCCAGATTGAATCACGAGCAGGATCGCTTCCAAAACTGACCCAGAACCCTAGCATGGACCAGGCCAGCTGTCTCGGAAGACCCGCATCGTGGCGATGAATAGGCTGGGCTGCATTGCGGGCATGCTTTTTTCAAAGCGGGGGCTCCTCTCTGACTCAGATCCGCTTTCGTCAGGAGCTCATATCGGTAGGCAGTAGTAGGACAGTAGGAATCCTGTTAGGACCGGAATTTCGAATGAGTCATGAAGCCGCACGTGTTCTGTTCATCTTGGACCTCAGGCTGGAGTTCTTGAGCTCCTGTGTTTCCTGGCAGAGAAGCCGTCGAAGAGCGGAAGATGCTTCTAGCAGCTTCTAGCATCTTGCGAGTAAGGTCGCTAGAGTGTTGAGCAAAGCAGCCCAAAGGCTTTCGGCAAGGAAGCCTCGTGAGCTGAGGATCAAGTGGTCGTCATGTCCAACGGGCAGATCGAGGCCGCGGGACGCTACCAAGAGGTGGTCAGGAGCAGCTCCGTTCTTCAGGCCCCTGCGCAGCAGTGTGAGGTTTCTATTTTGCTTTCCGATTCTTCTGAATGCAATCTCAGATCCGTTCGGTCCTTGTTTTCATAATAGTCGATCCAATCGGCATCTGTCAAGAACAGCAGCTCTAATGATAGTCCTCCGCAGACTCAGCAGATGCAAGCAAGGCGCTGCTTACGTCCCAGGGCCTGGCTGAGAGCGCCCGCGCGCAGACACAGACGGCGATGCAGCCCCTTGGCCCTCAGAACTTCGGAGCCTGGCACGAAAACGCCGGGTCCAACGTAGCTCCGTTGGCCCGCCGAGGCCCTCGAATTTCTCCCGTGCCGTCAGCGCCAGCTCCGCTGGCTCCGCAGCTGAGGGGCAGCAAGGGGAGGAGGCCGGGGCTTGTGAAGGGACGGCTTCTTACTTGTTCGAGACCGAGACTGGACAGTCTTCCGCATCAATCCCAATCGACTCCGATCACAATAAGTCGAAATCAGCTTGTCACCGCAAGCCCGGGCACGGATGTCTTGGCAAGGACGATGAGGACGACGAGGAAGCAGAAGGCTTGGAGGAGGAAGAGAGAGCCACCGGTCAGGTCAAGACAGAAGTGGCCAAGCGGCACCGTAATCCTTCCCTGATGCTGTGCCTTACCAGTGTTTGGTTTCAGTGAAAGCATCTCCGAACTCCTACTATGTTTGCCACCATGGCTGTCGTGAACCGTTGCAGCCCGCTTGAACTATTGCCTGGTTTTCCGTGCGGACGTGTCTTCGTGGGTTTCTGCATCAGGTTTTCAAGTACTACTTTCGGGCCATGGGGGGCTGGTGCCGCGTGTCCTTCCTCGCCGCGCTGTACTTAGGCACTTGGGGCATGCTGTGAACTGTGTCATCCGTTTCCTTGAAGATGCATGTAGGAGGAAACTTAGACAAGAAGCTCTGCAGTCACATTTTACTGAATCTCGAGCTGCTGAAGACCGTCGTCTGTTGAAGCCCCAGGCCCCTTGCACTGACTTGCGCGCAGGCTCGGACCCTAAACCGAAACCCTAAACCCTCAACCCTAAACCCTAAACCCAGGCCCCTTGTACTGACTTGCGCGCAGGCTCGGAGCTAGTGACTCTCAGCCTGCCCGTGTGGCTCGCCGTGTGGACCGCCGCCTCCACGAAATCCGGCGAGGTATCCCTGGACCAGACGCGGCTTGGCAGCGGCCCTGCTGTTTTCGCCTCCTGAGGATGATGCCAAAGGTGTACATGTATCTAAAATATGCATATATACAAAGCACACACACACACATATATATATATATATATAACATAACATAATATAGCATAACATAATATATTATAGTACAATATAATACAATATAATATAATCATATAATATAATATAATATAATATAATATTATATTATATAATATAAAATAATATTATATAATATAATATATTATAAATATAATATAATATATTATAAATATAATATAATAT